TAAAGACCGCTTGACTGTAAATCTTAAACAAAAAATAGGATTGGCTTGAAAATTGGTACAATTATTCTTATTTGAGTCTCCAACAACATCTAATAAATTTTACGTCGGCAAAATGATTATAAACAACATCATTTGATAAATAATCATGCCTGAAAACTCCAAAATCCGTAATTTTATCAAATAATTAACCATAACTTTTTTTACAAAAATACAATTACCTCCAAATTTTGTTTACTTCATTCTAAAAAGCATACAATCATCTGGAATGATTTGTAAGTCAGCAGAAAGTTGATAACTTTTATTATTAAGTAAACAATCAGACTCGACCAGCGACGAAACGAAATATTTGACCAACTAATTACTGTAACTCATAAACATCGTAAAAATATTTTTATATAAGTCTCCAACAACATCTAATAAATTTGAAGTCGGCAGAATGATTATAAACAACATTATTTGATAAATAATCATGCCTGAAAACTTAAAAATCCGTAATTTTATCGAATAATTAATCATAACTTTTTTTTAAAAAATACAACCACCTCCAAATTTTGTCTACTTCATTCTGGAAAGCATTAAATTATCTCAAATAATTTGTAAGTCGGCAAAAAGTAAATACCTTTGGTTATTAAATAAACAATCAGACGCGACCAGCGACAAAACGAACTATTTGACCAATTATTTACAGTAACACATAAACCAAAAATAAGATTGGCTTTAAAATTAGTACTAATATTTGTAATACTATGAATCTGACGACAGCAGGATATTGCAATATTAAAGTATGACTCCAACGGCAATGCTGTCCAATGGTCTTTTTTTATTTATTAAAGCAACGTTTCGGCCGCTTTAGAATGAGGCCCTTTTCAAGCAAATTATATCACAGTATACAGGCTTTACGTGATCGCTTACATTTGTCGAGATCTTACTTAATTGACTGTAGCCTGTAAGCGACTCGAACATACTNTTTTTTTCTTTTAAGATTTTAAAGTTGGTATTTAGTCAAATTATGAGTTTTTGGTTCACAAACCTTCCGTTGTTTTTTTAGCCAAAAATATTAAAAATTTTTCGAAATATCGCATTTTTTCGAAAAAAAACACCTTTCGTAAAAACTTCAATAGACGTCGGGAAATAATGTTGGAGCGATTTTTCAGGGCTTAATCTCTTTGTCTAGACTTATTCTATCATGCAATGTTTGTAGTAAGTAAAACTTTTTAATTTTTGATGCCGAAATTGGCTTCCGAAAAAAGTACTTTTTTTTTTCTATCGGTTTTTTGCATTTTTTTTACGTATTTTGATAATTGCACGTATATCGCTTACATTTGTCGAGATCTTACTTAATTGACTGTAGCCTGTAAGCGACTCGAACATACTCAATGTTATTACTTACTGTATGTTCGAGTCGCTTACAGGCTACAGTCAATTAAGTAAGATCTCGACAAATGTAAGCGATCACGTAAAGCCTGTATACTGTGATATAATTTGCTTGAAAAGGGCCTCATTCTAAAGCGGCCGAAACGTTGCTTTAATAAATAAATAAAGACCATTGGACAGCATTGCCGTCGGAGTCATACTTTAATATTTAATAGTACTAATGTTTTTATTTAAGTCTTCAACAACATCTAATAAATTTTACGTCGGCAGAATGATTATAAACAACAACATTTGATAAATAATCATGCCTAAAAATTTCAAAATCCGTAATTTTATAGAACAATTAACCATAACTTTTTATACAAAAATACAATTGTCTCCAAATTTTGTCGACTTCATTCTAAGAAGCATACAATCATCTGAAATAATTTGTAAGTAGGCAGAAGGTTGATAACTTTTAGTATTAAATACACAATCAGACGCAACCAGCGACGATATGAAATATTTGCCCAACTATAAACTGTAACTCCTGAACCAAAAATAGGATTAGCTTAAAAATTGGTTCAAAGATTTTTATTTAAGTCAACAACAACAACCAATAACTTTTACATCGGCAGAATAATTATAAACAACAATATTCAAAAATTAATCATGCTTAAAAACTAAACAATCCGTAATTTGATCAAATAATGAACCATAACTTTTTTAACGAAAATACAATTGCCTCCAAATTTTGTCGAACATTTGGTCAAATATTTCGTTCCGTCGGTGGTCGCGTCTGATTGTTTATTTAACAATAAAAGTTATCAACTGTCTGCCGACTTACAAATTATTTAATATGATTGTCTGCTATTCAATGAAGTAGACAAAATTTGGTTGCAATTGTATTTTTGTAAAAAAAGTTATGGTCAATTATTCGATAACATTACGGATAGTTAATTTTTAAAGAATAATAAATTTTTAAAAAGTATTCAATCACTTGTGTTTGATTGCTTCTGCAAGCTAAAAAGTGCTAGAGGGGTCTAATAAAAGTAAACTGGAGAGCTAAATGAACTTCCATCATACCATTATATGTGTGTATTCATCTTAAATGGATTGCATTATCTTTTAGGTTCAATCAAAAATTAGTATTTGTGGTGCACTGAAGTAAAATAATATTTTTTCTGAAAGAATATAACATGTANTTTTAAATATTGTTGTTTATAATCATTCTGCCGACGTAAAATTTAATAGATTTTGTTGTAAACTTGAATAAAAATATTTGTATTAATTTTCAAGACAATCCTATTTTTGGTTTGTGAGTTACAGTAAATAAATGGTCAAATATTTCGTTCCGTCGGTGGTCGCGTCTGATTGTTTATTTAACAATAAAAGTTATCAACTGTCTGCCGACTTACAAATTATTTGAGATGATTGTCTGCTATTTAGAATGAAGTAGACAAAATTTGGTGGCAATTGTAATTTTGTAAAAAAAGTAATGGTTAATTATTCGATAAAATTACGGATTTTTAAGTTTCCAAGCATGATTATTTATCAAATGCTGTTGTTTGTAATTATTCTGCTGACGTCAAATTTATTAGATGTTAATGTAGACTTAAATAAAAATATTTGTACCAATTTTCAACCCAATCCTATTTTCGGTTTATGAGTTACAGTAAATAGCAGGTTGTTCTCTGGATAGACACGTCTCCTGGTATTCCGCCGGGTATGTTATCGGTTAGAATAAATTTTTTATTGGTGGCACTCGTCACTCCTGGAGGTTTAGGGTGAAAGTAGACCTAGGTCACTTGCCCATTGGAGATGAGTGTCATCGGTAACCGGGATACCCAGCTAAGCGACTATCATCTACATTCTCGATGCAGCTCGATGAACTGCCGGTAAACGAAGACAGAAATTACGAAGACTTTTTGGCCTATTACAACCACACTTATTCAATTCTGTTGCAGGTGGCTTCAATTTTATGTCTACGCCACCTAGCGGATCCTACTGAACCAGTTAACCAAAGTGAAAAGCTGGCGTATTTTTGCAAAACTTTGAGCTTATTTATTGCTATTGATACTAAATTTTTTAAGATTAAAGCCATACCCAAACCATCTAGGAAGTGTCAAAAATCGGTATGCAAAATTTTAGCAAAATCGGTTCTGTAGTTTTCTCGGTTAGCGATTACAACCGTTTTAGCGACATTGCTTTATATATTAGTAAAATAACTGATTTATATTATATATCTGTTAAATTTTATTTACTTCTCAAATTGAATTGTTCATACATAACAACAAATAATCTATAAGCCTTCTAACCTTGCTAATCTAATGAAAACATCACTTTATTCCTCATCTGGGATGGATCCATCAATGATCCGATATCCGGAGATCTAGTTAACTGAATCCATTAATGATCCGAAACGTTTCACAAAACTGATGCGGACCTCGTACCCCGCGCTCATTAAGTCGAAAAATTTTGTATACACCACACGTACGGTGTAAGACCGTGACCACACGTACGAGAGGTTATGTGATTGGCACGCGTGCATCAATCGCGTTCCCCGTGCACCAGTATCGCAATGTACTAATTCGAAAGCTTTAAACTTATTACAATCGTTAAAAGAGAAAAAAAACACTTATTTCCTTTACAGCGACTGTCTAATTTTTCCCCCAATTGGCTATCTATATCAATAGTCATGTGACCTTTTAGGATCCCAGTTGTAGCAGACACTTGTCGCATTTTGAAGAGACTTGCAAACTTTTAATTGACTGTATGTTCAAGCTAAGGTAAGTTCTCAGTACTGTTCATTAAATTTTAAATTAAGAATACTTCTACACACTTTTTCTGTGTTCCATATACTTATAACTTCAGTAAAAGAATACAAAATGTAACTATAAAATTTATTGTTTTCCACGTCAATGTTAGAGAAACATAGCTTCAGCTTCTATTTCTGTTCAAGAATGTGTTCAAATGACTCTGAAATTGGCTCTAATTATATTTATTTTGCATATCAAAGAATTATTCCGAAATTTTGTCAATTTTTAAGCTTGAATATAAATTAAATTTGGTACTTAAGTATTGGAGAGCATATGAAAAAAGGTATGTTTGCTTTCACAACATTATACATATTTTTAGTAAAGTAAATGTATGACAATTTCATGTGAATATTGAATACATCCCATCATTCTAATGGTGTTCAATGTCGGATGTTCTGAAATTGAGCTTTAATACTTCAATTATTAACTTATTTTACTCCTTTTCCACTTACAGGTAAATTATAAATAGTGTTTAAAAATTATTAGAGGATTGTTATTTTTCTCGTTTTTCAATAACTGTTCAGGATTCAAAAGCTAATCTAGGTTGAGTATGAAAGAAGCAAAAACTACAAAAGTAGTTGTACATAAATTTTCATCAGAACTCTGACATAGGCAGTAAAATACAATCTCATTCTCAATCCATGCATTTAATGAACTACTAGTGGCTGATGCATACTTAGCACTTTAAAATGTAATGTCAATGTTATTTCATGCTTCTCTTGCTCATTGTCATAAATAACTATGATATCCTAAGAAATATTCTAACTAATACTCAAATAAGTGTATATGAAGTTTAGAATTAAATAATTAAAAACATCATAGACTTACAAAGCATCATTACTAAAATTTGGTGATTTAGGAGGTTCTAGTTGATGTAATTGACTATACAAAACATCAAAACAAAAAAATCCCATTTCTGGCAAAACTATTGAATTGTTTGTTTTTTGTTTTTTGGTTCCACAGTTTGAAGCCATTATTACAAGCACCGACTGTTTATATCACTTAGAGGAATTAAAACTGTTAGTTATACCAAAATGGTTCAGAATATCTAATTAAATTTTATTTCAAAGTGTTTTGTATAATAAAAATATACTATAGAAATTTGATGCATGTAGTTAAACAAAAAGTAGTTAGGACGTTTAGCTACTTGTGTTAATGACATTGTTAATTTCGATTAGTCAACCTTTTAATTTGACATTCATCGCGGACTTTTTCCGTAACTTCTACTCCACGACACGGCTGTGCGATGGTTGTACGCTTCACGCACAGACTACTTATGCCTTCGGCCGCGGTTACATGAGGCGGAAATAACCAGCGGAACGTCACTCACAGCTAGTGGTGGGTAGGTAAGTTACCTTAGGTAACTTCCTTAGTTTAGTACATGTAAGATACCTGTAAGTTACCTGGATCAGTTTCTGACATTGAATATGTCGTTTTACAAGAAAACGGGTCGGCGACAACTTGCCCAAAACTAGACTGGTAATTTTTTGCCATGAGGTTGCCACTCACTATTTTCCAAAGATCGGAACAGCCAAAATACATAAAGGGACACTCTACCTATAAAACATAATCACATGAGAATCTTGCGTGTGCCAATAGCTAGCGCTACGTGTAAGACATTGAAAATAGCTACAATATTGGCTGTACATCCTATTTTCTGTCAATATAAACCATTCAAATAAATAGCTACAACAAAGTTTGCATACGCAGTGACGCATAACAAAATTTTATATTTTATCAAGATTAAGGATGTGTCTCGCTTATTCAACTATAACTAAGCACATAGTGGCACATTGTATAGGTATATATATATTTTTCGAAGTTTGCATTGCATACGCATTCTCACAACTACATGTTTGTACGATGATGGAGCTTGCGTTCGCAGTGTACGATCGTACATGAATATATTATTTATTTACAATATATAAATATTCCGTGCTGGATTTTAATATCTCTATGGATTCTTCTTTCTGCATTTGATGGTTCATCTGTCTGGAAAAAATGTCCATCTTGCACATAAAGCGGAACATAGACATAACAGAAACATAGACTGCTCATTCCTGCGTACGCCGCTGAAGCATGGGTAGAAAGAGACACAGTATTGAGCGTGATATTCTGTCTTTCTTGCATATTGACAACGGTGGGGTTCGTAAACTAAATCTGGTTAATGCAACATCCCCACCATTTGCAAAGTGCGAAGGAGACAGATACGCCCGTTCGAAGTTATGTCCATGATGTAAAAATATAAGGTGTGGCGTTGCGCATCTATTTTAATCGACCAATCAGGAATGCTTCCATCGCGCCGCCATGTCTGCCTGCAAATTTCAAAAGCCTTTAAAATGTAAAGCATATTAACATCAAGAAACTCGTGAAAAAATATATATTTTTTATTTAAATATTTTTAATCCAGTTGTTTCAGTGACCAAACGTACAATTCGTGATTTTTTACACAGAAGAAACTGACTAAATAGGTAATCATTTATCAATTGACGTACGTGTACATTCATACGTATGTTTACATCTAAATATATATGTCTCACTTCGGAGTGAATGCAGGGGATATAGGTTTTAGTTTCAACTTCGGCCACTTCGTTTCATTGTGTAGGCTCTTTGGCACTGTAGTACCTTAGAGAATATATACATGGAGAAAGCATTCTATGCTCCGACCGCGAGACGAGATGAGAGAGACAAAAGACAAATAGCAGTACAACGTTTCTCTCTCTTACACGCCTCTGATTGGTTGGCCCTCTTCCGTATATATAGGTATAGTCGTGTCCACGAGTGGCGGTCGTGGGGGAACAGAGCAGATATATGTAACCTAAGTTCTGATGAAAAAGAACTTATATATTAGCAGAGAATATAGAATATATCCTCTTTAAGTATAGAAAGCCAAAGCGGAATTCCGAGTATTACACACTAAAACAATAATCGTCCATTAGATGGCGCTAATGCTGACATCAAAGTTACACTAAGACCACGTGATATAGAGAGGCAAATACAAACTTGTTTACAACTTTGGTAGGTTAATATTATATTATTGTTAATGTTTATCAAAATTTGAAGCATTACAATTTAAATATTAGAGTTAATTAAATGTGTCAATGGTGGAGTAAAGCCTTTTGATGAAGAAAGCATAATTTTAAATTCGAATCATGTGTTATATGGTCGTTATTAAGACTCTAAACCAGGATTAGATAAATACTTTTTTGTGTGTTTGCAAACGTTTTTTTTTATGGTTACCCCACGCGAAATCGTTGATATTAAAACTGATAATGAAAGAAATAATTCAATGCAATGCATATGTGCAGCTGTAAGGCAGGGAATTCTGGTATTCGTAAACACATTGTAGGATTGTGGGTGTATGTTTATTTTAAAACAGATAAGTATTTAATCATAATTAATAGGGTACTGTATAATATTGAAAACAAAACGAAGAATACAGTAGAGCAATTAAGTTGCACAGATTTGTAGCAGCAGTGGAGTCATATTAGACAAAAAGGTAACGATGCATGTATGTTACAACACCATTTAGGAAATTTTGTCATGGAGCCCATGCAAAATCATGTAAAATGTGACATATCTCCTGCAGTATTGAGGTCAATATTTAAAATATTTAGCACAGCAGACGTGGAAAGTAAGTTTTAATATAATATTATGTATAATATTAATATACGTTTTGTTTGTTCTGAAAACAGTACACTACTGTAATAGTAGTAGTACACTACAGCGTACGTACACTGATAGTAGTCTGACACTACTGTTAGGCCAATTAATCTACGAAAAAGATGACATTAGTGTTATCAGAAAACAAAAAATACGTTGATATAGAAGAAAATGATTCAAGAAACATAGCGTTTTGTTTTTTTGGTTATTCAGTGGCTGAGTTAACCTAAAAAATTCGTGAAAGTCCGAAAATCCCTTTTTTCGCGTTTGAAAAAAAAGTTGACCTCCAATTCCGAAAAGTTAAATTACAAAGTTGTAGATCATAAAAAAACCTATCGATTGACGCGCGTTGAATATAATTTGAATGCGTAGTTGCTGAGAAAACTTGAAAAACCATCGAAAATCGTCTTTTTTTAATTTGTTAATAACTTTTTTTCTTTTGAGATTTTAAAGTTGGTATTTGGTCAAATTATGAGTTTTTGATTCACAAACCTTCCGTTGTTTTTTTAGCCAAAAATATTAAAAATTTTTCGAAATATCGCATTTTTTCGAAAAAAAACACCTTTCGTAAAAACTTCAATAGACGTCGGGAAATAATGTTGGAGCGATTTTTCAGGGCTTAATCTCTTTGTCTAGACTTATTCTATCATGCAATGTTTGTAGTAAGTAAAACTTTTTAATTTTTGATGCCGAAATTGGCTTCCGAAAAAAGTACTTTTTTTTTTCTATCGGTTTTTTGCATTTTTTTTACGTATTTTGATAATTGCACGTATATAACTAACTGCAATGCATTGTACTTATTTTTTACGAATTTAAAAAAAAAAAATTTTCATGATACGACCGTGTGGAGCCAAGTTAGGTTTTTTTTTTTTTTTAAAATCCCTATGCGACGGTGAAAACCGTAGAACTCTGAAACTTGCACACTTTACTAACAAATACCCATTTTGCATTAAAAAAATTATTCGCAATCGTTAACTTTAGCGGAACGATGGGTATGATAACGTTACAGTTGAGTCTTTTTTCGCGTCGCGCATCGACTGCCCGCTGGTATGAGGTGTGTCTGGCTGGTTGCTCTTACTCGGGCGCTCCGATACGGCTCCGAAATGGAGTCGGAGTGGTGAGAGAAAGATGTTCTTCCCTCATGCAGCTGCTC